GGTGGTAGAGATGGAGTATTATTTGAACAGTGAAGTATGATAAAATAAAATGAAACTTTATTCTTTCAAATAGTAACACATTAGAAATCACTTCATATACTCGAAACAAAAACAAAAAAAAATTTAAAATCTTTCCTTTTGATTCAATACATGGCATGCTTAATGGTTTCATCACTTCTAATTTAATAAGTGTTACAAACTGAAAGCAAGACAGGTAGGTATTAAAAATATATTGGAACATCTTAAAAATTATCAGCCCTACCAGTGGAAATAAAATGATGGCAATTAAAAGTAATAAAGGTTATTAAAAGTTAAGGCCTCAGAGGCTAGAAGTCATGTTAGACTGTCAATTGTTTTCCCCATGGTGGGTAACCAGTTAGAAATTAAAAAAAAAAAATCTAGTAGTTTAGTTGTGGTCAAAGAAAGAGTCAGTGGGGGTGGGGTAGGTTTCAGCAACATGCTGGTAGAAAAAAAGAGACTTACATAGTCTGGGAGGGCAGTGAAATGGAAGGCGTGGTAACCTCGCTCACTTAGTTGTCATTTTTTGATTTTCAATGACATTTTTTTCATTCTTTCGCCTAGTAAAGATGACAGAAGGTCCTAATTTATTATCTGATGTCTATTCCTGTTCCTAGATGTAAGAGAATTTAACTGTATACAGTCATATAATCCAAATACAAATACTTGATAAAAAGCTAGAACACTAATGTTCATGCATCCCATTGCAATCACAGCTGTGAACTCAAACCAAAACTCCGGATTCAGGGAGAAGGCTGCACAGCCCAGGCACTGGGGGTTGGGGGAAGGTGGGATTGTGCAAAGATGGTGGGCTGTGGTTTCCTTGGCTTAAAGCTGTAGAAGGAAGGAGAGCTCCAGAAAAAGCTAACTTCTTCCAGAAATGATAGGCGCCACAGACTATAAAGAATGCCTAAACTAGCAGTGTTGGTATGACTCTCTGGGTCCACATATCCTGTTTTTCAAAATACACACCAGACATGCAATAGGTACTCTCTGTCTTCAATTAGATGCCTTCAGGCTGAATTTAGATGATGAGTGCAGATCACCAACACTTTGTCTAATAGGACATGGAGTGTGGTTGGGGTTTAGACTGAAGTGTAAGAATAGGTGTGTATAAGTTTCTATTTCTTATATAAATTATGCCAGATCCAACTAGGCAAAGCCATGGTGCCTGGCACTTCTTCCCACTGTCTGGTACACTTCATGTGCTGGGCTGGAGCACTGAAAGGAAATACTTACAAATCAGTAAACAAAAAGACAGCAATAAGTTAAATTCCATGAAGAAAACCACCCAGATGGCAAAAGCCCTGGCTTCTATACCTGAGTGGTACATTTTAAGGAGCATGAGGGAGGATTAAAAAGAATAGAAAGCAAGATAAAACCAAACATAGCAGAAAAGACTTTTCAAAAGAGGAAAGGGAAGGGATCAAGGCAAAAAAGAAATATCCTGAGAAAATCTCGAACAGTTTTGATCCAAAGTCATCTCCTGGCATTGCAAATGTTGGAATTTCGATTTTGGTTCTGCAGTGGTGAAATATCGCTTTGTTCATCTGGTCTGAGACAATTTTCTATTCTCATGCATACTTTTAAGTACGTTCTTTCTTAGGTGCATGATATTATTCCATTTAATTTTCAAGAAACTGTCTCTGGAGGAGGTGTAACATCAAAAGGTGTCTGAAATTGAGCCAGAATACTGCATTCACAAGGTGAATCAAGGAAGTCAATTCTTAGTGAGTTTCACAGGTGTGTAGCCATTGGATTGTATTTATTCTGAAAAACTAATCTGTTGTAAAAGATGTTTTAATTATACTATAAGAGATTATTACTATTATTTAAGAATCACTAGGGCAGAATAATCTTAGTTCAATTAAAATTGTTAAAAATTGAGGACCATTAGCATAAGAATGTTGGCTGTGGCTTGCATGTTTGGGGCTTCCCTCACTGCCAGCTAGTTTCCCTATGGGGTCATTTATAAACTGCTGCTACACAAGAGCGTAGGGAATAGAATAGAAAATTCTCTGAACTTTGCTCATCAGTGAACAACTCAGAGACACACAGAGATGAGTAGGCAGAGACCCACTCCTTAGTTTTGTAAGGCCCATCACTTCCCCTGAATAGGGACCTGTCCACGGGGAGCCACTAGCTGCTGCAAGATGAGGGAACCCTTTCCATATTTCAGGCCCACAACATACATGGGTATGGCTCAAGTCTGCCTTGAGGAGAGTTCCACAGCTGTCTAGTTCATACTTGATCTGCTCTGCTTCCTGCCTAGAATGGATGACATATGGGCATGCCTGAAGAAATGCAGGGAGGTACTGCAAAATGGAGTTGGCAGGATCTGGTGAGAAACTGCTATTCACTCAGGTTGGTGGCTTTTCTGAAGGCATCGGTGATAACAAAGACTATTAAGGCTATTGGTGGCCAAAACCCCAAACAGAAGAGGTTGCTACTCTGAGCAGCTTCTGTAATGGGGATACTGCTCCCATTACTGGGTACCTACTGAGCGATTTGTGAAATTGCCCTCTCTCTCTCTCTTTCTTTTTTTTTTTTTAAATGCTCTTTAAACCAATCGTTCAACCTTAGGTCACAAAAACAAGCCCATAGGAGCAAATGAATTGAGTGGGATGGGGGTGAGCACCTGGGGCCATAAGCTTTGGTTAGCAGGCAACTTCCGTTTCCTCCTGTTTAAGGGTAAATGTGCAGCCTTGGATTCCCGCTAAGCAAGGCCTGCAAATGCCACTGGCCTGATTTAAAGGATGAGTTCTTCCTGAGCTCTGGATACATGAACTTCTTCCAAACATTGGCTCTCTTTTCAGTTTGCAGTTCATGTAGAGTCAGCCCATTTTTCTCCAGTCCTGGAGATCTGCATCCTCTACTTCCCCAAAGCCCTTTGCTCCTCCTGCTTGTCTTTGCTATAATCGCTTTTATTTGTGGGACACTTGGGAGGGGATGGTAATGTTTAGAGTAGGGAAGAAAATAACTCTTTTTTAAAAAAATCATCATATTATGATTATGTTTAGATGAAATACAGGGCTTGCCATCGACAAAATTACAAAACAATTCCACTGGGAGCCCAGACAGTACAGAGTAAATTCGTCTATGAAAAAGTGAACTTTAATTGTTGCTCTTGGCAACCATCTAAGAGAAGAGTGAAATATTATACTAAATATTGCCACGTGCAATAGTAAAATATGATTACCTCCTTGCAGAGCAGTGTACAGTCCCCTTCAGATTTAGGTTTGGGTCTGGTGATTTCATCTAAATCCTCTATTTCCCCCTCTCCAAAACCAACACAGGTTTTCAAAAGGGCTGCATGTTTTATTAGAACCATTTGCTCCTTTTAAGTTGCCAAAAAGGAACAAGTAAAACAAAGATGTTTATTTGGGTTCAAGTTGGCTCCTTAGCTTCATGGAGGTCAATGTACTTAGTCTGTGAAACTTCCATTAAGAACTCCCTCCAGCCTTGCACCAGCCAAGGTTACGTGTTGCCCATCCTTGTTCCCCCAAGCTTTGTGGGCTTATACAGTAAGAATTGGGAGCACATGGATGCTAATCAAAATGAAACACACATAAGGCAAATTACATTCTGGATTTTTTGGAAGAACTGAAATTTCAAGTAATTTTGATGCTGCCCTTACAATTGCAACCTGGGGATCAAGTGTCTGGACTTGGATTCAGAGAATGGCATCTCAAGAGGTATTTACAACTCTTTATAAAGACTCACTGAACACTGCTGTATTACCTAGCATGGAGAAAGTGTCTGATAAAGTAAGGAAAAAGTGTTTGATAATACTTGAAAGCAGACAGATATTCTTCTTTTTCAAAAAATGGAGTGAAACCTTCAGGGAAACTGTTAGCCAAAGAACTATTTATGTGATGCTGGTGACCTGAGATATGTATTTTATATAATATAATATAGCACCTTGTAAGCACAAATCTATGAAAAGCTATTTGGAAATAATTTTAAAATATATATTCTGGCATGATGTTTGTATATACTGGGTAAAACTCCCTAAGGATATATGAAGATCATATGTAGATAATGTTATTCAGCTTTTAAAATGTTTAAATTGGGACAATTAGGGCCCTTATAAATTGAATTATTTCCTCAGGATTTTCCATCAAGCTACTGATGGTCTGAGTACCAACTCTTCAACTTATGAGGAGCTATTTCTTTTGCTACATAGGGATATATGTTATGATATAAAATTATTTGGGAGTGAGTTTAAGTTTGTAAATGCAATAAAAAAGTTATCTTTCTTATACCTTAAGTTAATAGATTAAAATTTAGGTTATTTGCAACTTGAGTAAATATACCAATCTTTAGAACTACTTTATATAATAATTATTTTCTTTTTTTATTAAAACATGTTATCTATGGCAATAAACACAATGACTGCTGTGAATAACACCACTGGAGGGATATATAGCCCGGATCAGCCATGGGAAAGATATTAAGCATTTGTTGTATGTTGTGCACAGCTGCATAAAGACTATACATTATAAAGCGTCATATGAGCTTTTGGTTTACACAAGGTAACACCTCTTGGAAGTATGCCTGTTTCTGTCTGTGCGAGTTTTAAAACAAAAAGAAAATTTATAGATGCAGTGCTACACTAAAGGGAACAATATATGTCAATTACTATTCAAGTGGAAGTGATCACAACAGAAGGTGAGGAATTTTAGAACACATGTCATCAACACCACTCAGACAACCAATGACAGCAAATAGTAAACTAACTAGGAGTCCATAGGCCGACTATACCTGGGAGTTGGTTTATCTTTTTTAAAAAACTGACCTATTTGATGGGAAGCCAAGGAAATCTGTGTACTTTTAATTTAGAAAAATATCAATCTGCCTTTTATTTATGAAAAGATTGTATGTCAGTACAAAATTTAAAGTTTCGTTTCCTGCTCTCCATTGAAAATGGGGGGAAAAATAAAAATATTTTGCCTGTGACAGAATATGAAAGAAGTTCTCACCCTTAAAACCAGCAGCATTGGTTTTCCAGTCATTAGCGTTCAAATGTCCCGCACGGGATGTCCTGACAATAACATGCTGTACGTCTCTCCAGGTCAGAAACGGACTGGGGAAAGACAAGGTAAGAATCATTGTACCAAAAAAAAAAAAGATGGGGGAAGCAGAGAGTCACAAGCAAATTAAAAAAGCAAAATCAAAATGGCAAAGTACTAAAAACAAAGGGTCAGAGATTTGGGTCTGGGATAACCAAATGCCAAATGCCGCTCTTGTTCTCAACATGGAGAAGTGACGTTAGTCTGTGCGAGGCAGAAAATGCAACCTTAAATTGAAGAAATAATATGGTTGAAGTTAGTGTAACTTCATTTTTGAAAGGGTGAGGGTTTCTAGTTTTCTCAACAAAATGATGACTCCTTATGACACTGTCTCTCTTTGTGTAAAAGTTTGCATCATCATAGGAAACTTCCAGTAAGCAAATGTCAAAATGGAAGGCCTCTGGAACATTCCTTGTTCAATCACGTAACTAGGCAAGTGACTTGGATTTTCCCAAAGAACTTAGCCTTGTTTTTAACTACTGCATAAATATATAAACATAGGATACAGAAAAATCTCAGCTGGAATCGTCTTCAGTATTCTTTAAGGAAGAAAGTATGGTTGGTATTGAACCCAACGTTGGGCTGTAAGTCGCAGACAGGTATGAAATTATTCTTGATTTGTAATAAGTAGTTGCTGTTCGAAACACTGGAGCCCTAGTTCTTATAACTGCTAGCACTAAGAGCACAAGGCAACAACTAAACAGGACACATCTTATGAATCTGGTTCGTAGATTCACCTTTGATCTATAAAGACTGTGTACATCAGAGGGCACATGATTCAGTACACACGTGTGATTCTCATCAGACACTCACTTCAGTCTGGAATTATGGTAGTAATTATCATATAGCCTACGTAATAAGTTTTGTTTCTTATCCACCATTTTTTTAAAGTGGTGCTGGAGTTTGAACTTATGGCCTCCCTCACGCTTACTTGGCAAGGGCTCTACTACTTGAGTCATGCCCCAGTCTTTTTACTTTATTTTTTTAGCTAGTATTGGACACCTGTGAATGCAATCCTCCCACCTCCATCTCTCTAGTAGTTGGGATCACAGGCTTACATCCAGCTTATTTGTTGAGAGAGGGTCTCAATAACTTTTTATCAGAGCTGGCCTCAAATTGTGATCCGTCGGTCTTTACCCCCCCCCCCTTGTAGCTGGGATTATAGATGTGAGCCACCTCACCTACTGAGGACTTATTTTAATTGCAGCCAATTTTCAATGGTGAAGCCTATGCCTTGGTTTACCTTGTTTTCCCCCCATCACATCTAGCAGGGAGGCCTCCCCAGTAGGAGAGATCCAGGGATCAGATTTCAACTCCTTCCTTTCCTATGTGAAATTAACTTCGTAACATCTTAATTTCCTCACTTAGAACATGGCCACTGTTATGTATTTCATTATGCTGATTGAATCGGTTAAAGCAATGCCAATTACTTAGCTTATGCTATGTGCATAATAAGGTATTAAGAGGTGGTGAATAGCCCAACATCCTGCTAAATTAAGAGAATGGTGAAAACAGTGAAGAAAAAGCACTCCTGAGTTCTGACATTTTGTGTGCTCTCAGACTATAGGGGGAGAGTTAGTACTGTCATTTTCAAAGTTTTGCCAGAGGTAAGATTAGATCTAGACTTATTTTTAAGGTTACATTAGCAGAAGAACTTATATTCAGGAAGCTAAAACCCTTAAAAGTTTATGTAAACTTTAAAAATATGAGAACAATGAAAAAACAGAATCTTCATTTTTCTTGGATATACAATTGTTTTAGATGGTACTCAGGGCCTCACACTTCCTAGGCAGGCAATCTACCTCTTGAGCCACACCTCCAGCCCTGTATTTTTGAATACAGTCTTGTGTGTGTGTGTGTGTTTTTCTTTTTTGCCAGGGCCAACCTGGACTGTGCCTCCTATTTAGGCTTCCTGCCTAGCTGGGATGACAGGAGTGCACTGCCAAACAGGGCTTTTGGTTGAGATGGGGTATTTCTACTAACTTTTTCCCTGTGCGTTTTCCCTCGAACTATAATTTCCTTGATCTCCATCTTCTGAGTGGCTGGGATTATATGCATGAGCCACTGTGCCTGGCTACATTTGTTAAGAGCCAATTTTAGAAGCAGATTAGGCATGAAACTCTTAAGAAGGAGAGAGAAGTGTATGATGGATTCCAGAAGGAAGGGATTTGCTCCTTTTCTTGAATTCACATGATAGTTCAGTACACTCAATATGTTACCGACAGGAAAAGGGGAAAACGGGTGAGGGAATAATTCAGAGTGCTGGTTTCAATATATGATGCTCTGTCTGAGATGTGATGTCCACATTCATTATGGTTACATGGGTGAAGAGCTAAAGTAAGAACAAAAAAAACTCAGTTCAGATGGACACTCTAGTCACTTAGATACAGTACAGCAGAGTCCTCCCAAATAAGTAGATGTACTTTTATTTTTGCACGGGTAAACAGCACGACACCAAAAAGTACACTTGGAGTTGATGAATATGTCTAAATCAAACAGTAATTTTAGAATAATGTTAACACCTTTAAAATGTCTATAATTTAAACCTTACCATTTAGGAAAAGAAGAAAAGTAAGTTTTTCATGTTACTTATCACCAGCGCAAGAGTCCTTCAGAAGTTTGGAGCACAGGGTTCTCTGTCCGTTGGGATACATACATTTCCCTAGTGTACCTTAGCACTGAAATATCATAAGAGTAGAATGAGGAAAATTTATCTTGTACCTTAAGCAGCTAGCTGTACTCTGGCAGATTCAGGAAGTCTGCATTCAACTCAGCCGGAAGAAATTAAGAGTGACTTGCTCTCATGCTGAGTTGCAAAAGCTAGTTCTTCTTGGAGTGCTTGTAATTAGAAGGAAGGAGTGAGCATCAGGAAGTTCGAAGTGCACATGGAGAGGGGGGTGGCTGGATGACTTCACTCTGGTATCTGATAAGGCACATGACTTTGGAAATGGTGGAATCCTGAATTTCACCAAAGTAAATAGGGAAGAGAATATGGGAAACCAATGGCTTTGGAATAAATGACATTTCTATCTGTGGGAAAATAACTAATTAGCTAAGGAAACAGTTGTAGGTAAATTTTGGTAGAAATTGCATTTTAGTTTTTGCTGTTTTCCCAAAGGGACTCATGTTTCTGGGGAAGTCTGATTTGCACCTTCATTCTTATTTGCGTTTATGCTCACAGGGATGACGTAGAGGTGAATACCGAGTCAAACTACCAAAGATTTGGTAGTGAATCTTTCTGGTAACCATACACAGAGCAAAACAGAGAGGGAAAACTGAGTGCCCTTTGTGCAGTACAATATCCACAATAGTAACACAGGACCTCCTAAAGCTCACCCTCTTCTATAAACAGCTTGGGTTTCCACTCCATAAACCTCAGAAAACCTCATTTTCAAGAACAGGAAGACTGGGCACCAAGTGCTTTGGGGCAAGCAAACAAGAGGGCTGAAAACTAAGTGACCTAGAGAAAACAAAGAGAAATAGGCTTGCCCCGAGACTGCCCTTCTCTCCCCATAACAGCAACACACAATTTCTTCCTAGAATTATTGCAATTACTTTTCAACAATGCATACCAAAAAGTAACATTTCTAAATGCCTTCAAGATCTGAGTAGCTGTCTGTGACCTTTCAAAACAATGAAATGAACATGACTTTCTGGAGTGCTCTGTATATGTAACCTTTGTCTGTTTAAGAAGGTTTTCATCTTTTACTGACCTTGTAAGAACAACTAATACATAGCAAGCACTTGCCAGGGCCAAGCCCTGTAATGTTTTATAGGCAGTATTGTTGTGCAATCTTGAATATGATAATGATGTAGGAAATAATCTCATTTCCTTTGCTCAGAGACAAAACTGAGGCTTTGAGTGACAGGTAGTCACTCAAATATACAGGTAGCAAGGTGCTAGACCTAGAATGTGGCTGAATGTGGCTGCAGAACTCTTTCTCTTAAACACCAGCTACTGCTGTTACCAGAATGGATTCACAAGACGCTACGTGGGTGCACATATTGGCTTCCCAGGTTGTTCACAGACATTTTGGATCATCGTGTTCTCATGGTCACTCAATCTTTGCAGACACCTTATCAACTCACTTGGCTGATTTTTGTTTGCCATAGTATTCAGCAGATTCTTGAGTCCTAGTGTGGTTTGTAATTTCAAAGAGGCCTATCTTTGGCATACTTTATCAAAGATAAAGAGAAAATTATCATGCCAGGAAAATCATATCTTTATAACGCCTGTTACATGTATATTATGTCATAATGTCACATTATTTTATACCAGCAGTATTACGAATTGGCCACTTTCTCTGCCATGGCTTCACTCTGAAATGGCTCACTGCCTGGTTAGGTAATTCTTCTTAGGAAATCAGATGGACCTACCCTCCAACACTTCTAGCTGCTGAAAAACCCAGACAACAACACTATCACTATCTCAGGTGCAAACTCTTGTTCTGAGCAGTTTGAAGTATTTCTTGGGCCCAACATGAGTCCTAGAAGAAGCAGGACACATCTCAAGAGATACTTTGTGCAGTGTTTCTTGTTAAGCTTATAAATGCAACTGCTTGCACTTATTCTAAAAAAGACATAAAAACTTGCCTCGCCAAGAGTTCTCCCGGGTAATTCTCAGATGTATTTGTGTTAGAAATAAACCTGCACTTGATGGTCCTTGAAAACAAGGGTCAATTTGAAATCTTGGGTAATGAAATCATCTGCATTTATTAAAGAGAATAAAAGAACCCACTCCCAAAGAATTATCATGTTATGCAAGTCAGTAGTTAACTGGTAAAGGGGGCAACAGACACACATCTTATCCCAAAAGAATTTACCAAAAGGGAGCAAGAGCCCAATCCAGATAATGAAACCTGTTTCCTAAGCATGGTAGTCTTCTTAAGTAAAGAATGATACTGTTTCACGAGAGGACAGGGCATTGCCTAGATTAATGGGGGAATTGCACAAGCCATCAGCAGCTATTCAAGTACCCAATTTATGAAACAAAATTTACATCAATCCAAGACAA